TCCCAGTGACTTGGGGAAGAAGAGTCCGTTTCGCAAACGTCGACGGCGACGGACTCGAGAGCTCTGTCGCAGTAAAACTGCTTGGTGAACGGAGAAGGCGAAGCAGATGCAATGCAGTACCGAATGCCGTTAACATAAGGAATTCTTCGTCTCCTTGAATGCGGTGTTTTGCCGATGTTAGAGCCGCTGTGGATGCTGCTCGATGGTAGTTCAGGCGTTACCTGCACACAGACTGCAGACATAATGTAGATGTGGCGAAATCACTTTAACTGTCTTCTGAACAACCGTTCAGTGTTACTGGCCTATATTGAACGGCATGAATCATCACGAGGTGAAGATGAGTCTGGCGGACACACCGACCCTGGTTGTGACGCAGAGAGCACTTGCTCAACTGCGCAACGGCAAGTGTGCCGGTGCTGATGGGATCCCGCCTGAAATATTGACACATGGCAGACCGGCGTTGGTGACTGCGCTGCACCACTTGGTGCAACGCGTGTGGATTGAGGAGGAGGTATCTCCGGAGTTGAAGGATGTACGTGTGCTCTTACCGTAGCGCGACAAAGGAAGCAAGCAATGTGCGACGAACTATGGTGGTATCAACTTGCTGAGTTGTGTGGGCAAGGTGATTGCCGGAATCCTGCTCAACCGCCTCGTCAGTCAGGTAATGGAGCCTAACGTGGCAGAAGAGCAATGTGGATTCTGTTCGGGTCGCGACACTATAGATATGGTGTTCGCAGCTCGTCAGTTGCAGAAGAAGTGTAGAGAATGACACCAGCCATGGTACTCGCTTTTCGTGGATTTCAGCAAAGCATTTGATACGGTGAACCGCGAGGCATTGTGGCTGGTGTTGGGTAAGTTTGGTTGCCTGCGTAAGTTTATAAGTTTAATTGGATGTCTGCACAGTGGTATGCGAGCGAGGGTGCAGTTGTGTGGACAAACCTCGAATGACTGCAGTTGTCTCTGTTGTGAAGCAAGACTGTGTCTTAGCTCGTGTCCTGTCTAATATTTATCTTCATGCCATAATGTCGTATGCGTTTGATACGGATTGTGCTTACGGTGTTCGTGTAAAGCAACTTATTAATGGTAGGTTACCGAACATCCTTCGTTCCGGTGTGAAAACCCTAGTCTATGAGACAACTATCCGTATGTTGCTGTTCGCTGACGATTGTGCGCTGTTTGCATGCAACTCGGATAAGTTGCACCACATGACTATTGTTCTGGCTTCGACGGCGTCCGAGTTCGGGCTCACCAACAACGTAAGCAAAACTGTCTCTTTCAGCTTTCACCGGAAGTATTGGGAATGACGTATTAGAAACCATCTCTCGCTTCTGCTACCTTGGGGTATGGTTTCGACTGATCAGCAGCTACACAGTGAGCTTCATATACGCGTATCGAAGGCAGCGGCGGCATTTGGGAAGCTTCAGTACCGAGTGTGGAACTACCACCGGCTTACCATTAGTACGAAGCTGATGGTATACAAATCCATGGTGTTGTCCGTAATTCTATACGGTATGGAAACGTGGACGATATACCGGCGAGACGTGAAGTATCTCTACTGGTTTCGTCAATAGTCTCTGTGTCTGTGACGGGTTATGCGCATCGGTTGGTGCGACACAGTTGCAGCCACGGAGGCGTTGCGCCGAAGTGGAATGTATGCTGTGGGCTGAATAATCTTGCCGAGACACCTGAAGTGGCTGGGTCATGTATGCCATATAAATTCGACGCGGATACCGAAGCAGTTGTTATATGGTCAGCTGAGTGTTGGGAAGCGGTATGTAGGGATAACAAAGCTTCGTTACCAGGACATAGTCAAGGCGAGCCTATCACATACTAATATTGATTTCAGGTATTGGTAATCGAAGGCGGTTGATCGGAGTGCATAGCGCGATCTGATCATGAGGGCAGCTGCCGAGGTGTAAGAGGAAGCGCTCGCGTGTTCACGTGCAAAGTTTCGTTATTTCAACTGGCTGGTTTGCCATATAGTCTTAATGCTGATATTGTTATCTCATGTTAACGTTGACCAGCATAATCTTCTATATACTTGCACACGTCACTTAAACTAAAGGTGGTTAACTTTAATTTTTTCGCGTTTGTTGCATGTTTGTTGATCTTCCTTTCTGACATCTTGAATTCACCTCAGATTTGGTGACAACCCATTTATTCCATATGTTAATTTAGTGAAGAGTTATGTCGGCATGTCCATACGCTTTATGGGCTTTATTTCATTTGATATTGTCATTTAAAGTGATTGGCTGTCACTTGACATCCCCGGTGTGGCTGCGCTTAATGTGAATGTTGACTAGGTGCCTACCTGTCTATTACACTGCGTGTCGATTGCAGTGCCTGCAGAAGATAGTTGTTGGTTGCTGGAGGGGACGGGTGCATGGTTCTCCTGGTCGTGCTAGGCTCAAAGAGTGCTTCCATGCATCTAGTGTGAAGCGGACTCCGACCAAACCACCGCCTTGTGTACGTCTGGTACGCATGGTTGCCCAATTAGGCATGTGCTTCTGCTCTGCTTGTTGAAGGACTGTGAGTCGGCTCCGCTGATGAAATGTGGCTCCCATCCACATGCTTGCCGCTTATTCCTTCAGGTTCACACCAGATCTGGGGGGGGGGGGTGGGTGGGTGGATGGAGCTGTGTGTGGTGCAGCGCAAGCCATCTATGGTTCCTCTGTAGGTGCAGGCGTCCGGCGGCTCTGTTAGAGAGATCACGTACATTAGCCACACACTGCACGTGAAATCGATCGATTTCCAGTGCGTGTGTTTGTTTGTTAGCTTGGAACTTTCAGCCAACCAAATGGCATGTGAGCATTGCTTGGTTTCGACCAAGTGTGTACTTAACGGCTTCCCCGGGCAGTTGATTGTAACATCAGTTGTCCAAGTAAACGTTTTCAAGCAGTGTCAATTCTGTCTTCTTACTACTAAGCGGGAGTCATAAAAGTCTGGCGACGGAGATGGTTGATCAAAATGTTATCAGGTACATGTTGCAAAGGCAGCAACGTCAGTTGGCTCAACATCAGAAATCATTTGAAGTTCTCGCACGATATTTTTCAGCACACAAATCAGAGGTTCCAGAGAGCAGAAGTGATAAGTTGAAGTTGCATTGGTCAGTGGAATACAAGAATTCAGTTATGACGGTTGCAATACAGTTGCAATACGTTTTTAGCTTGGTACAGGAGATATGAAGACATTTTTATTGTTGAAGGTTCAGCATTGGATGATTGAGCAAAAGTACGGCTGTTGATGCAAAAACTTGGATGTTCTGAACACACAAGATATTGCAATTACATTCTACCAAAACACCTAGGAGATTTTACTTTGCAAGAAACCGTGGGTAAGCTTTAATTTTTGGAGAGCGGACATCTGTATTTAACGTTCGTTATAATTGTTTAAAGCTTACTAGCGCAGGAGACGAAGAAACTGTGACATAATCAGGTAGAATGAACATGGAATGTGAAAGGTTCCAATATAAAAGAATGTCAGACGATCAATTCAAAGCATTGATTTTGTATCTGGCTTAACATCGCCTGCGGATCTGGATATCAGAACAAACTTACTATCAAAACTGGACTCTAGTTGTGACATTTCCTTGCACGATTTAACCACGGAATACCTCAGCATGATGAACCCAAAGCGTGATTCACAAATGTTACAGTCAAACAACTGTTATTCAGACACGACTACTTTTGATAACATTACCACAACACAAGTGGAACAGAACAGATTTCCAATGCAAACCGATTTTCTCAATCCATGGGTGTACAACATACATGTAATCCTTTTTATCCTCCCCAGTCGAATGGACAGGTTGCGAGGTTTGTGGATACATTCAAACGGGCTCTGTTTAAACTTAGATGAGGGGGAGATATTGCTCGAAACTTGGATGTATTCTTACGCATGTATCCTTCAACACCGAATCTTCTCCCAAACCGGCAATCCCCATCGGAACATTTTATTGGTCGACATCTACGCATACCGTTAGAGGCCATGTTTCCAACAAAGGAGACTAATGAGTGTGACCAAAAAATGGCAGGTCAGTTCAATCGTAAGCACGGTACTCGTATGAAATGTTTTCATCCCGGCAACCTAGTCTTTGTGTACAACTACATGGATACACATGAACGTTGGATTGCAGGAATTGTCCAAACAAGAAGAGGAAATGTCCTGTATAAAGTGGAATGTCAAAACCGATTGACTACACGTCATGTGAATCACATCAAACATGGTTATACACCCGAAGAGGTTAAGCGAAATGACACTACAGAGATTCTCTTACACGTTCTTTTACCTACATTTGCTTTGTCTTAGCCAATGGAACCACAACCAGAGCAACGCGTTGGTCTGAGCGTAGAAGTGGAACTTGAACGAAGACATATAACACGTACACGACCCCCAATTCAGCGACTCAGTATCGTTCCGAGCAAAAGATCTTATGTGTAACAATTTACTTTTTTAACCGAGAAGAGTGTTAGATCACGTATCTCATCCACACAGACTGCACGTGAAGTCGATCGATTTCCAGCGGGTGCGTTTGAACGTTAGCTTGGAACTTTCAGCCAAGCACATGGCACGTGAGCGTTGATTGGTTTCGACCAAGTATTTACTTAACGGCTTTCCCGTACAGTTGGTTGTAACCAGTTGTTCAAGTAAACATTTTCAAGCAGTGTCAATTCTGTCTTCTTACTACTAAGCGAGAGTTATAACACTCTCCTCGTGGAGGCCGCATTGACAGACAAATCCGGAATCGGATGCGTCCAGTTATATATACAAGATGCACCTCAGTGTCTCTTTTGACCAAGCGGCTATTTGAAACTTTGATTTAAGTCCCGTGGGGTTGTCGATTGCGACCCAGCTACAGCAACTTCATGCAGGTGACCTGGGTTCAGAACTTCCAGTCACTACGGGAAAATCTGTGCTCCTCTGTGACTAGAAATGACATCGGCGGTTTTCAACCGATTTCCTCAGTGTGACCGTCTAACGACTTGTGGCTTAGGGAGTCAATGTCAAGTGTACCTGATACATGGACCAGATGCTTAACCCAACAGACTCAGTGGATGCCAGCGCTACGCCAGTTACCATATGCTTCCTCAGGTTCCAGAACAATGTATTCGGAACAGTCGTGTAAGCCTAGTCCTTTGTCTCAACGGTCCGTGCGTGATTTTGGTCCCCAACTTGACATCGCCCTCTCAGATCTCAGCAACCCTTTGGGCCAGTGCGATCCTGGTCCTTCTGTGGACGATTCCGTCTCACTCAGCGTTCCTTAAGTAACTCCATCCTTCTTAACGCTGCTATAGTAATCCAGGAAAAATAAATTATGGAGAACAGTACAGTGCTTGATCTCTATAGTCAAATAGGTTGCTTATCACCCAGGTAAGACAACTGCGCGGGCTCAGTGCCAGAATCCCGATGGAGAGGGTGACACACTAAAATTGTCACGAAATCTTCCGAGCCCTGTGAGAGTCCGTATGGGTTAAATTCACCTGAGGTTTTTGTGGCGTGGTTGGTACCAAACGCCCAGTACCGTTTTGTACCCACAAACAGCTTTTTATAGTGATATCGTTCGGCACTAGGTTTACCCTATATGGATCAGTTTGATCAAAATGCGGCGAGAACAAGTCGGGCTGTTAAGTGCAGACCGGGAACATACATCAGATATCGCTAACTATGGGTTTTCGGCACTGTCATCTTTGCGCACACGCTAAACACCTTAGTTTTCGCACAAACTCAAAGGGAATGACCGATGTCGCGAAAATGCCTGCGACACAAGTTCGTCCTACCGGACTCGGAACACCCATTTCGTCTGCTGGCCAATCGGAAACAGCGCAGGACAACGTTGCCAGTAACCACGTTCGCCCACTCATTGCAACGCTCACCCACTCCTACGGCACACCACCACACTTTGCGAACGTCTTCAAGCCTACCGGAATATCTAAGCCTTTTACTGTCTCCCACATGAATAGGATGACGAACGGTTGTACACTCAATTGGCCAACCGTAACGGAGAGAAGTAGACAAGGGCACTGATTTATCAGCTGATTCCGAGAGTAGCCGAAGCCGCACCCTTGTCACGTTTGTGATTGGTTGATAGGAGGTGGTGAAAGCTCATTCACTCGCCTCTGTGCTAGCTTACCCAAGTACAACTCCCGGGTTGCGTCGGTCCAGCATCCCTCTGAAACTTGGTCAGCAGCACTGCGCCGTGTTGTTATGGAGTTAAACGACCATGGTCTCGCAGGCCCCGTTTTCAGTGATCCTAACACTTACTGGCAATACGGTTTTCATCCCAACAGTCAACCCTTCCCCAGTTTCCCCCAACAACCTGTGGGATGTTGCCACTGCTGTTGTCTCTACAGCCCTACACCTTGTAGGATGGGCCATTTTGGACCTGGCATCTCTGATCACTCGTGTAGCGCGTCGGATGAAACAGGTAAGATGTCGTCGAGCATAGCGTAGCTTGTGCTTGTGCTTGTGCTTATCGTTTCCTCTTCTCTTTGCCTTCCAATTTCGTCTTCAGCATCGTTAGAGCAGCGATCTCTCGTGCGCATTTCCACACCATTCACCCAGTCACCTCACGCTCGGTCCTCCATCAGCAGCAGTGACAATGTCGTCCAGCTCGCTACGAGATGTCACTCAGGCACACCATTCAGCTCTGACACTTATGGGTGGTTGAGATGTAAGTGTCCAACCGCCTACGAAGTATCGTTTTTGCCTTTCAGCCCCCTTGGTCTATTACGACCCATGTACGCGCCGGACAAGGAAACCCTCGGAACCCTCGACCGGACTTACACTACACTCCTCAGAAGTCAATTTGATCGCCGGCCACGTGGTCACAGATACTTCATCGTTAAACGCCCGATCGGTGGAGAAGAGGGATACCAGTGAGATCAAAGCTCGGAAGTTCATATGCAGCTACCCAGGTGAGTATAGTGGTGGTGCAGACCCTCTTAACTGTGCGTACGGTAGACCCGAAGTGATTTCGTGTGTCATAGTTGCTTTGACACGGATTCTTTGAGTGGATTAAGACCGATAAAAAGAGAAGCAGATTGAAGGATAATGCACATATTTCTATTACTACTGGTAGAGGAAGCAGTAAACCCTAGGTATATACTTTCCTTGCATTCAGCGCCTGACGCACCACTGCAGTCTATTACCTCCTGCTTCAGCACCGCTGTCTCAGCTTGCCTAATAGGATATTCACAGACTGCTACACATTTGCTGATTAGCCTCTACCTTTGGGGCATCTACGGTAAACCCACTTCAGCCCTAGTTGATAGCTATGGTCCGTGGGCCGGAGTGCAACAGATCCAGTGACCCACAGTCACACATAGGTTCACTTGCTTTCCGCTGTTTAGCGAGAAGATAACAAATTTCGTTTCTGTCCATGGGTCCGATTCATCCAAATCAACGAACTGTTGGCTACTACAGAGGTGAGAAATATCTTTAAACTTGTTAGGCTTTTGGGGTCTTATGCCCATAAGGGCGAGTGCGGTGCAGGCTCAGCAGCGTGAGAGACTGCTGAGCTTTCCATCGATGTGCGACGATGGTCGGTTGTCCCGACGAATAGATATGTGACTGTAGGGTATCTCCCTAATCCTTCCTTCGTATTTTACTGAATCTACATTAGTAGCAACCAAACGCCGCTGACACCTGCGATACTCGGCATCTTATACTTTTGACTGGGAATGAGTGGAACTAGCTGTCCGCTTCAGCGGCCACTTGATCTCCACCTGCAGCATAGCCCACCAGATATCCTGGCGATGGGTGATTGGCATCGTTATCTAAGTGCATCGTGACCGTAACCTGGTCAAGGGTCCTAGACCGGTCGGTAGCCGAGGGACAACGCTACTCCGTGTGTGGTAGGTATGCACTATCCGGAAATATGAGTAATCCAAAGTGGTCAGATGGAGATCCTCACAATCGATTAATGGTGGACTGCAGGTGCAGTCCGTACAGAGGGACTGCCAGCCGTCCCAAATGGGCTGGTGTTGCTATTCGCAGAGGCAAAAGTATATATGAAAATAATTACCGTAACATGTCCAAATATGTCGTTAAATACTGTCATACTTTAACACCGCTTTTCATTGCCCATGAGTCGTTATAATAAAATCGTAACTTGGGTCAACACCAGTGACCGTTAGAGTGCCCTGAGTCACCTCTGTTTATGCCCCTAGCCGTCCCATTTCGACATACTTCGGACGAATTTCAACCACCAAAAATTTTCGGTTGGGCCTCAAGCTCACTATTGTGTTGGAATTTTGGGAATCGATTTCCGCTTAGTGTTGCCGGGAGTTGCAACCAAAAACATTATACGTTATACACATAACATATGTAAAAGTATGCTGGAAAGTTTTCTGAGTGATTGAAAATCGTCCAATGTGTCCAACTGGGACGGTCAGCGGCATAACAAACGACCATCCAGGGCGCTCCAACGACCAGTCCAGCGGACATTTTTCAGTCACTTATGTTGTACGGCATCGTACTGCAAATTCTTCATACGTTTTACGCAACTCCATCTTCAGCCGTCTCTCAGCTTCGGCGACCTCCCGTAGGATGGTCAACGGCTGGGTTCTTCATTCTCTCACAATATGCGCGCCACTTACTTGCATCGAAATGACTGGATGATCAAATTCTCCATGTTGATTGTTTGGTATTTATTTGCGCCTGAGTGCAGTGGGCCCGTTTTTCTACTCAAGAAATTTCAAGGGTATGGTGGACGTTCAGTTGGAAGTCAGAGATCCGTGGGCTTTAATGTTTCATCGGCATCAGGCTCTGCACGAACACGCGCGCTCCGCTCATTTCAGCTATTTTGTTAATAGCATCAACTGAGATCGTCAGGATAAGGGAATGGAGTGAGCTAGAACAAATGCCTTCCATTATGGGGACTCAGACCCAAGTAGAAGTCAATTGATGTTTCTGAAGAAACCACTTCTAGACCACATGTGGCATAGTTAGGGCGTGAGTCCAGCGGCCCTTATAAGTGCCGCTATAGCCCAGTCACAGCTTCAGGACAATCAGGATAGTTCTCGCTGCACTCCCTTTCGTGGTCGCACACATTGTAGATAATCAGGAGGCTCGCACAATTCCTTAGAGAATACCGCTACTTCGACTCACGGTGTAGCACTTTTATTCTTTCTCAGACAAATGTAAGCTTGAGCAAGCTAGCCAATAACCACCTCGGCGAGCGTTAGCGGGTTGGTTCATACCAATCTGGGACCGCGTGGTCGACAAGTAACATTCAAAATCGGAAGTGCGATCACTATCCGGTTTTCGGTCGGATAAGCCAACGGTTCGTGAAGGCCATTGTCAACTGATCGCTCAGTGCGATTGTCAGCCTGAAAGTCAGATGGTGTTTAACGTCTACTGATTCGGAGTGTAGTGGTCAGTTGAGATCCTGATCCTATCTTTGTTCCGTCTTGTTCCAAGCACGTTTCGGCACGAGTTGCGGCTTGGCAACAGTGACTTGATTTTCCGTTCAAGTCGATGCTAGTGTGTGGAAAAAGTGAATTTGCCCACACCCTGCATTTTGGCGTGCCCGTTGGCTAGACACGGCTGATTTAAAGGCTCGTGAAAGATCCGCTAGGGAGACTAACTTAATAAACTGTCTCCTAAGTTCCCACGTAGAGCAACTTCAAAGGCAAACTCTTGGCGTTGCCTTGTCTCGTCATTTGGACCCGCACCCTTGCAGATGAGTGAGTACCCCCTAAACACGTCACTACTTCCAGTGAAAATTTTTGGCTTGTGGGCCTTATGGTTGCGTAGTGACACGCAGTCGTGTGTACCTGGAACTTAGCCTTGACTATCACCGAGATTGCCTCCGAAGTGCGGCATTCTCGATATTGCTTGTTTCAAACACTTCACTTTATAATTGCTTTCGTACTTGGAGCGAGAGTGCACAGACAAACAAGCGCAGCATACATGACAGCAATCTGCCAACAATCTCTAAGTGCATAATAAGGTGCTAATTTTAATCAGTATTTTACACAACATTCCAGACTGCTATATACTTGTTTGGATCCTTCAGGTAAGGATACTTAGAGCTGGGAATGAAACCTAGGACGTAGTGTTTGATGGCTTGGGACCTACAACCAACCTCATACTCTTGTGCTAAGCGCTTCTCCCGGACCGTCGTGGCCCAGTGAGCAATAGATCAACCATAAACCAGTTCCTTCTGGGTGCCACTCCGAACTGCATTTTCTTCCGGTGGACAGTCCAGGCATGAACGAAGCCGGTTCTGGAATGTAACGTTTGAAGTGAGAATCACCGAGAACTCCCCATGTTGTCGCGTCCCCAATTTATTGGCCACCCTGATGATAACCACTTATCCGAATAACACGAGTAACCAGTTTTCGTACGCACCCGCGTGGTCGTTTGTGGTGCCTACAACCTTCCCGAAAAGCACATTCGAGCCGGATTTCGGTCACTCGAACAAACTTTTCCAGCACAGCGATGTTCAAAACATGGACACAAATAACGGTCACTTAGCGACAGCTTATCGGTCAATCGCATTGACCGGGTGCACGATCTAATTTGGAGGAAACGACTTAGGTGCAAACAGCTGTGTCGTTAGCAATGCATTGTAATAGTTGATGACATTTGGACATACTATACGCGTTCCATTCTTTGTAAAGTAGTAGTGGGGGAACTGAGTGGTATAAGTGAACATTCATCATCTCTAGATTGTTAGACGTCCGTGAAACCCCCGGAGGAGCGCTGTACGGCTGCTTCATCCTTCCGGGAATTGTCAGCAGTGCGCATTCCATCTGACACCTCTGGGGCTCGAATCCGCAACTCGACTGTTGTCAGTTTGTGGTTAGGACCACTGAGCTTCGGGTACGATAACCTCTGTTGATTAAGTTATATGATATAGTGCCGCTCACTATGCGCTGACTTAAACGTTACTGCCATGCAGAGAACAGAGTAACCGACTTCAACCTAACGGATGAAACCACTCTACAGTGCTCTTCCGGACGTGTGATGGCTGTCTGATCTAGTCTAGTTGTGATGAATTTCCATTCGGATCCTTCCACTACTCATTTGTAGTCATTACGCGGACCATACTGCTTATAATGCCCCAAATTGCTTGGTGGCATAAGTGTGCTAATTTCGTCGCTTCGCGAGGATGATCCAAAACACGCCCAAATGAGAAGACTGGCGATCCACCTAGACTTGTTTCATCTCCTGATTCATACTATTCTATTGAACAGCTAAACTCTCTAACCAACTTGAAAGATGTGGTTGAGCAACCGCTAGACTAGACCTTCCCTTGTTTTCGACTGCGTTTTACGAAATTTTGTCTGTAGCCAATGGGGCACGTTTGCTTTGCCATATGCTTGATTTGTCCACCTTACATGCGGCTGTACCCATCGCTCTTAACGCAACGACATGGGTTACCGTCGGTGCTCTACTGGTTCCTTCATTCTCATGTTTCGCACCTCGAGCTAAGTGAACCTGCTGGTGTCTCTACTGGAAACTCACGCACGCTTGCTACCTTTGCTGGAAGATCCCCGTCGGTCATGCTGGCGCATGGCAGTGGAAACAGTAACCATTTTCTGACCGAGTTGAAGGCGGTACCCTTGTATACTCCGCTCCGTATGCACAGCGGAGTCTTGTCCCGTGGCTACTATGCCGAGCAACGTAACTTTGCGCACTTTCAACGTGTGGCGGAACTCAGACAAAAGTGCAGTCTAGCTGAGAAATTGGGCTCGACTCACTTTCACCACGGTGACTCAGCCCCTTTCCCTTTCCATGCGGCGTCTCCTAGCTAACTGGAGTCGCACACACAAAGCACTTTCTTACTGTGATCAGCAAGTCAGTGCCAAATTGTCGCGAACTGTGACCTTTCCCACCGAACGCGAAAGTACGATATTCGCAACTCGGAGTACCAATCCATGGCGCGTGGTTCATCACGCGTATCGCGAGCACGTCGAACTGTTACTACGCCTCACGTGCGATGCTCAGTGCAAAGTCATACGGTTCCTTGACAAGAACGTGCGAGCTAAGTGCGCGTGAACCACAGCTACATATTCCTACCTGGCACCTCTAAGTAAAGAGAACCTTCCAAATGTGATGTACGCCATACGAATTAACCCAAAATCTTACCGACCACCTGACTCCTATAATTTGCTTTTTCCATTATCTCCCTTGATTAGGCTGCACGAAATCTTACACCACCTCTGGGCACCTCACGGCGCATTATCGAAAACATACCGGTAAGTCACACTGGTGCTCGCTGCTTTGTTTCTTCTCCTTTTGATTTGGTTGTTCGAGGCGGTCTTTTCATGTCAGACATCGGTGTGAACACTAGGGGAATTTAGTTTTCCAAACTTTGGGATTTGTTTTTGGTTTGCGTTGCAGAGTACGGTCAACCAGCAACTTGGCACCGACTCTGAAGTAAATCAAAAACTCTAATGTATGACACCACGGAAAATTGGGTCGTACGACACAAAACCTTCGTGACACTCACTACTTCGGTCGCGGAGTGTCATCACTTTCACCGGAAATTCATCAGAATTTACGTGTTCTGCAAACTTTGGCATCATGCTGGTCTCCGTGGTGGTGGTGGGGTGACCTAGAAACAGAAGTATACCTGATATTTCTTACTGGGTGACAGTTCGGGGACTAGATCTGGCAGCAGACTTCTACTAATCTATTGGTTCGCCCTTGGAATAATGGCAAAGCCGTCATAGGTCCATAACTATTAAGCTCTCTCCTAAGTCCCCCTCCACCGTCAGTTGCACCTTTCGGGCTGAGGTAGGTAGATCTTACCGGTTAAAGTTGCGTTCACGCAACCGGCCTTTCAGGCGAAAACGACCATGATTCATTGACCGGCTTGACAAGCGTTGCCTACGGGCTCGGTGTTGAGGAGCAACTTTTACATCTCTGCTTGGATTCCCAGTTTGGCTGTCTCTACCTGCAGTGCATAAATGTGCGCTCGACCGGCCGTGAGGTCCGAAGTTGCATGCAGACAATGCTCAGCATGCATATGTCTAACACAGTGCGAGTGACAAAACTGCCTAGTGGTGTTCACCACAGCATGAACAGTGGTCCCGATTAATATTGCGTACCGTCATCTGCCCGCGCAACGAGCTCTTCAAACAAATCAACGTGTCAATTAATGCACCTCCGCCTATTGCGAATGCGCCGAACTATGACGATTCACTGAGCCTCACTCGATTTCTGCCAACCTACCACCATAGTCCGTAGCACAATTGGCAGTGCTTTGTTACGGGTAAAAATGCAGGTGCTTGACGCGTCCGTAGGATAATTGGGGCGGAAACTAAGCAAAAAGATGAGTCTTATTTCCAAAGGTCTACTGGGTTTAATGCATTGCTGCATAACAATAGTGTAAACTGAGAAGTGTATGCAATCATACAAAACATGGTGAATAGGTGTGGTTGACGTGTACTGTGCGATAAACTAGTACGTTCACTCATGTACCGCTTTCTTGGGCTAGATAAAGATAATCCACAACCGCACAGCCTATGTAACAAAGAGCTGGCGCATAGAGGTAACATCCAGTTGTTTTGTTGAACATATCCAAATTAGGAGAGGATTTAAATGCGTTTGAGAGGGTTCCAAAATTGGCAAAGCCGAACAAAAAGGCAACTCAATAGGCATACTAGACGGCTGAACTGTTTCACGCATTCTGCTGAGGTTGGTATTGTAGCTGAGTTTTAGCAAATGACATTAACAAAACACAATAGTCAAGAATATTGGTCGTGTCACTTACGACACCCCTCTTTCCCAAGTAGTAGAGAAGGAGAGTGCTCAATATGTCTCAGTCACTTAAGTGCTTCAATTTTTACCGCTTACAGAGTGAAAATAGGGCACAATACGTATGACAACGTGTACCTCATGATCAAAACTGTCCACAAGGAGAGGAGAGATTTTACACCGTAGAAGCCGTGTTTCATCCAACTGATTGTCAGGACTTGACAACACGTTGTTACCTATGTCTTTTTAGGTGAACGGCCCTTCGTTTGCACCTTTCCCTTCCCCGCTGATGATGGACGGACGCACCTGGAGGCGATACAGGGCCGGATATGCGGACTACGGTTCGGAAGGTCAGACGAATTAACGCGACATACAAGGAAACACTTCAACATTCGACCCTTTGGTTGTCCCCTTTGCTTCAAGCGCTTTATTCGCGCGGACCACTGTCGTGCGCATATTCGACGCCATGACCTCAGAAACGAAGCAATTAAGTCGAAGTCAGCACCAGACAGTACCTTCAGGTCTGAAACACTCTCGCCACTCCAACCGACCTGGTGTGATTCCACTGGTTTCCATGATTGGAAGAACATATCTGCGACCACGGAACATGACCCTGCTCAGCTGTACTGAGCCCCTTACTTGTACTACCCAAGTTACATCGATTCTCGCTGGTTCTGGCGAGTCCGTTTCTTTTGTCTCCAGTTGACTTTCCAGTAAATTAATTTTCATATTACAGTAAAATTAGTTTTCATCCGTTTTGTCTTCCATGCCTCAGTGTCAGCTTCGCCAGTGTGAATGCGGTAGCAATCGTAGTTTTTGCAGCGCACGTGAGACGTGTCTACTGTGGGGCTTATGACTGCTGCTGTGTCCCCTCCCACAGTATTACCTGCGACCACCCAGAGCAACGTTGCATGCGTGATCGCTGCGATTCCGGTGCGCTTTCGTGTCGGACCAGCTGTCACCCGAGTGATGGAGGTGCCATGCAATCGTGTTTCCCAGTGGTGGAGGTATGCCTGTTTGTCGACAGTTATCCGCATCGGCTTACTAATGGAGTGGATTGTCAACGGTAGACGCACAGTAAATTATGTAAATTATGGTCTCATGTCTTCTGTGCACAATTTGTCCGCGTGTTACCTTACCTAGTGAATTGTACATCGCACTCTGATTTGCCCACTCGATTGTGGAAGAGAGTTTGATGAAGAATGAGTAAGTACAGGATGAAAGACTCGGAGTTCATTTAGAAATGAGGGTTTATTTAGTCCGTTGTCACGAGACAGTATCGAGTATTTCGCAGCCTAGTCGCGCAGCCTCGCAAATGAACTCTTCAACTGGAACATAATTCCGAGTCGGAAACCCAAAGATATCTGGCGAACGGGTGGGAGTATTTGTAGCGAGAATGGCCGGCTCACGTGAAGAGACTCGGCGAATACCGTTCCCAATAGGCGAAGAGGGCACGAAAATAAGGGGACGAATGTGTACTGTGGTGTACACTGATCCCGTGTATTGGTTAGAAATACGACACCGGACGACGCGAAACCAGCTGGGGAAGGAGGTGAAGGATGGTGCAATTAATCCGCGTGTTGAATCCAACTGTGGCGCTGCGTGTATGTATTGCATGTGTGTTGGAGCAGACAGACAAACTCAACATACATTCCAGCAACCTGCAACCAACCTCTAAGAATACAGTATAATGACAGTTTTATTTATTGTTTTACATAACGTACTCAGACTGTCCGGGAGAATCTCCAGACTGCTACATATTGGCCACGGAGCATGGGACGAACAATTATAGGAAGTGAGCGTAAAAACATCAAGACACCGTGTACCTAGGAAGTGGAGGATGCTGTCAAAGGTGATGGGTTGTGGTCGCCAAATGGTCACCTCTCTCTGGAACTCACTGTGGTGGGAATGACCCCACTTCAAGGTGATGTAAGCGCTGACTTCCTTTTGCGAGGGTGCAAGTGTTGTGTTTGTTGGACTTATTCCTGCTTCCTTTGAGAGACTACTTTCGTGCTCCTTGTCTCTTTTGATCAACCAGACACGGAGGTACCTGATGTCATCTTGCAGTTTTGCATGTTCTCATCATCACGAAGACACCAGACCGGTCAACGCTGGTCGCTTGCTCCTGCACCGGAGGGTCCCTGTGTTATTGACATTGGCCTACGTCGCAGTGTTCTGGAGCCAATTAGTCTCGGCAACCTATCAGTCCCCAACCGTGGTGCTCGTATGTAAGGTGCATGGGACTCAGTGTGGTTCCGAATATAGTATATCATGTAGTTCATCAAAGTCGTGCAAGTGCCGGGCACGCAAATGGTAACTCCGGAGTGAACGCGTTTCTCCGCGATCGTGCAGATGTGCGCGGTTGCGGGGCTTCGCGGTATCCCGCCTTCATGTGCGTGGTCAGTGTGACGCGGTTACACCTTCTGTGTACGGCGTCTCAGTTAAACCTTGCCATAGGTTTCTGTTCTGCGGTGGACTCTTCAGTTTGTGCCCGCGTTCCCCCGGGCGTTATGGAGAGTGAGTTAATAGCGGTTGTAGGGGCCCCGTAGCTATCAATTTGGTCAGTGGGTGACGTACGACTGCACCACCTTTCCCCATTTCTTCCTACTTTACGTGCGTCACGTGGGCGAAGAGTGCAGCCTACGAGGACGCCGTTTACTAGCCTGTGCAGTGTTGGTGACCTGACATATTGAACTGAGTTATATGCCTGGCTTCTATACAATCAGGAGCACGGTTGACTCATTCCGATATGCTATCTGGAATTCTGTCGCACTGTGTCAACAGCAGCTAAGGTGTCATTGTTTGCGTCACTTTCTTCGGGGCTATGTGTTGATTTCTGACAAAGGAGGCAGTTCATCAGCTGCCTTATCTGGTTATTTCTAAGCCACCACCAGGTTACGTTTGCTCCCGTGTTCCGTGTCAAGCCTACCCAATGAGGGCGACCTGGGGAATAGAACTGTGAGCTTAGGATTCATTATGTGGGTTAGCTGGTAGTGTGTGACATACATGTCTGGGAACAGTCAGCGAACGTTGCTTGGTATGCGTCGTTGATGCCTTCTCGTCCGCGAGGGGATGGCTTGTTTTGACACAAACTTGTGGTGATTTACTTGTTAGGTGTTCACACTCTTCATTGACTGAATGTGGGGCTGCAGAAGGATTCATGGCAGTGCTGGTGTGTAACCGTGGGAGTACGATGGTGGCTAGTTCGCCTACGGTACGCGATGCGTGGCTCCTAGTCTCCTCAGGGCTTGGCTGATCAGCTCCTGGTTGGGCATTCGGGTCTTTTCCCATCAGTCCAGCCTTCACGTCGGCCTTGGTACTTGAACTGCGTTTCCCTCTCAATAATCCCGACAAATACGCCTGCGACGCGATTCGACCCTTCACTTTGCTCTTATTACAGGCACCTGAAAGGTTTCGAAGTTGTGAGACATTTAATTCGCGGTAGACGTGAGAAGGCCGGCCGATGCGGCTCGAGCACAAAAATGAGGACCGAATGATTGCATTGCCACGTGGAGAGATGGCAGGCAATGAATAAGGGTAGTTTCATCGTTCTAGGGACCGTAATCGTTTGATTGATTTACTCTACATGCTAACGTATACTGAGGCCACGACACCACATTGACCTAATATTCCTTTGCACACACCTCCGTTATTGCGGCAAAAGTGTCTCCTCTCCAGGGTATAACGCCGTCTGCATGTTTCATTGAAGTGACTCCAGCCAACCTAATATCACATACCACGTAGCTGGTGGCTAATGTGCATTTCTGACTTTCTTAGTTACGTATTATCCGGCCGGTGGCAACTCAGTGTGTCAACACGCTTCAACACACCACCCAACGGTGCGTTTGCTTCATTTTCTTTCAAAAAGCTTCTTCTTGACGTGGATGTAGCTTTCACATCGGAATACGCGGTGAATGCAGGACGTCATTTCACGTTCTGTGCCCTCGAATTTGCTCGCGAGACGGGTAAGCTACAGTTCCCACGGTAGGGTCTGGTGTGAGTCGGTATACATCGTTCGCGCAGGTTAATCTGGTCAACAACAAGAGGCGCAGGTTAAGATAAATCAGAACACCTGTTTCGTCAGTGCGTCTCACACGAGTTAGTAAGTCATTCGCAGAGCATTGTTTCCGCGACTTGATACGCTGATGCCCCATTCGAACGGAGTAAGCACCAGTCCAGTCCGTTTTGTGTACTGAATCATCTTCTTTAAGCACAATCTATCCTCCTTAAGCTTCTCCTCTCAGTAGTTATTGGGGATCAGTTTCAGTTACTCTCTTTGTAATTGGACCACAGCTTAGTTCCTAGTTTGGATCACGAATTGTTTAATCTTTTGAATATAAGTTCCGTGAGTGTAGTCGCGTTTTTGATTCTGCCAACTGGTATTACTGCTCCCCCTGTCTGACCTTGTCGTTATCCGGTAAAGATAGCCTTTCCGTGTGGTGGAGTCCTTCGATGTCTGCTTCAAAGTAAGCATGGCCCGAGTTGACGCTGGGGGTCGTTATCTGTATGAGTCACGATCTGTGTGAACTTGCTCATCTGAATGTCATTCAGTAATTGGTCTTGCTCCATGCCGCCGCAAAAGGGACGACTGACCTGCTCCCTTGCTGAGCTAGAGCGCTTGTTTACGTAAAATCAGTGAAATGAAAAGGTTCCGCTGAGTTGAACAGAAAGTAAGCGAATGCAGAACAAATATAAAGTCAACCAAATACGGTAGATGGCGGATTCAGAATCCAGTTCATTGTTAAACACTGCGCGATTAGCGTATGGTGCAGAGTAACTTGGTCATTGTTGTGCCACCCTTCACATCAAGCTGAGCCACTCAAAGAATGCAAACCTGGAGTAGTACGTTTATGATTGACGGCGTTCGCATGTGTCTTCTCAGACACGACCGGTCCAGAGGCATTGAGGTTATGCGTGGCCGACCTCAAATAGCTTTCGTATTGCATTTTCCATGGTTGATTATCGTACCGGACTGCACAAACAAGCAGTAGCAGACGTCGGTTTGCACTGTAGTGTATTTCATGAACACAAACGGGAACAGGTGCACAAATTTGTACTTTATGGCTCTCATTCCATCGACAGTTGCCATACTTTCTGTGTCCATGGGGATGCCGAATCGACGACCTTAGCCAAGTTCGTCACCGGAATTGCGCTTGACCAACTTGTTTACAAAGCCTACACGAAAGCATCACGTCGACTTACCGCATGCATACTACTAAAACATAGTACTTATTCAGGGTCGATGAACGGTTGTCGAGCGCAAGATATCTCTTCCTGGGGATATTTTAGCATTGTATGCCCCTAAGTGCTGCGATGCACCGCCGATCTCGGTCATGTTTGAAACCTTCAGGTAGATTTACCCGGTGCTTGCTATTGAACTCAGAACATAAGCAGCCTTATGCTAGGCATCGTGACACACCAATAATAATAATAATAATAATAATAATAATAATAATAAAACGACTACAACCATTGCAACCACTACCTTTAAGCCAGAGAAATCCTAGAACCATACTTGTTACAGAGGTTAGGAATACGCAGTTGTGCTATGAAGTGTCCGCTGTACATCTGCATTGAGATACACAGGCTCAAATTGGAGCGGGATCGACCGTGAAGTAAACCTCGGTCAT